CTGCATATATATTAATCTATGGTGTTATAATTAAAAACAAAGCACATATGCTTAAGTGAGTGCCTTCAGCATTTCAATAAAAGATGCAAATTTTACCCCTACAATTATTCATAATACACCATTAATGACACTAGAAAAAGATCTAAAACTTCAAATTCCATATCTGCTACTTGTATAAGACTACAGGGTAACCTCCTCCTGCAGATAAGCAGTGGAGGGAGAATCACCAAACTCTATCACTTATTCTATCAAGGCAAGAACAAAGTGTTTTCACAGTCCTCTGATCTCCCACATTAAGCTTTCCATTTTCATCTGTAAATAAAAACACTAGAGACAAACTGAATACATATCTTAACCCTGCTGTGGGCAGAGAGCTTTTAGGCAGACATTTTTTCTAATCAGCTCTTCAACAACTATGGCAATATGAGCTTCATATTGTTATTATTTGGAAAATTTCCATAAATACCGCATTTAAGATAGTCATTATAAAACTCACAAAAATTCCTACAGACTATGGGGGGAGAGGGAGATATCCTTCTAAAATGAATTACATAATTTGACAGCAAATACTTAGCTGTCTTCTTCAGCTCTAAACTGTTAATATTCAGATCAATGTACAATCTCCAACTCCAAATTTTGAATCACAGAATCATAGAATTGATAGCATCTGGTGCAAGTGCCTCATTCTTAAAAGATTAAATGCCTTAAGCCATATTCCAAAGCTAGTCAGTAGCAGAACCAGGCCTACAACCTAGATCGTGTTGATTCTCTTTCCAGAGCTTTTTCTGCCATCGTTTACTACCAATTTAACTGAATTGTATAACCTGGCCAGAAAAGGATCTGCTGGTTCAGTCAAAGAATGGCATGAAAGTTACACTCCAAAGGCAACTTAAGGAAGGGGATTCCAAATGGACCCCTATTCTATATAAAATTTTCTTAAAAATTTAAAATTTTTATTTTAAATTTAAAATTTTTGCTTCAGTACCAACTTTCCTAGGCTTCCTCTAAATGCTATAAAAATAAAAAATATTTATAGCTTAAGAATTCATCTTAATATTTTCAATATTGATAAAGGCCAAAATGTTTACACCAGTACTGCCTGACAGAAATATCTGCAACAACAGAAATTTTCTGTATCTTCACTGTTCAATATAGTAGCCGCTATCCACATATGGCTACTGAGCACTTGAAATATGGCTACTGTAATTAAGGAGCTGGATTTTTAATCTTAATTAGATTTAAATAGCTATATATGTTTAGTAGCTATCATACTGAAAAGTGTAGGTCTAGATAGTCCCCATAGAATACAAAACTGGTTAATGAAATAATGAAAACTGAGCAGTGTTTTTACAGAGTACCTGCCTTGTGAAGCAACTGAGATAACATGGAAAGAATGCACCATTTTGCATTCATGATGCCTGCGTTCCAAATAAGACCATTTTTTATCAGGAAAAAGAGGCTGACAAAATTACATAATCTAAATTATACTAGGGTACTGCAAAAAGTTTGTGGAAAAATAAAATTAAAAGATAACGTGAATCTTTCCATGAACTTTCTGATGTACAGGTGTACATACATCTCATCTCTGAAATGGGGCAACAAGTACCTCCTTTGTGGGGACTGGGTAGTTAAATCTGCATGTAAAAATATTCTGTAAAATGAAAGCAACATATACAATTATATATAATTTCTATAAGTAGTCTGGGGAAGGAAAACGTGGACATAAACCAATCACAAAGCTATTAATGGAAGTCTAGCCTCAACAGTGTAATTAAACACCTGAGGCAAGAGTCAAGTGATTTTGTACATCAGAGCCTCATTAGAGGTAAATAAAATATATACCTTTAAAGAAAATGATATTCTAATTAAACAAAAAGATGATTTAATTGTATATCTACATTCTTCTTTTTGTGTTTTTTTGTTTTTGTCTGTTTTGGTTTTGGGGCTGACCAGTGAGGGAATCCTAACCCTTGACCTTGGTGTTACCAGCACTACACTCTAACCAATGAGCAACCGGCCAGGCCTACATTCTTTATTCTTTAAAACTAACTTTTAAAGCTTTTTAACAGCTAACAAATTTGAATTAAAAGGTAATAAACAATGCCATAAGTTTGGCATTCTTCCTCTTAAGGAGGCAAAAGACAAAAAATACTGGCAAGACCACTGAGAAAATATTGGCAAGGCTCCTTCACTTGAAAAGAAAAACAGTGAAATAACTCTGCTGTTTGGCTATGATTTATAGCTGTGGTGGTAACTTCAGAAGTAGAAGTCCAGGGATATTTCTCAATACCCAGAAGACAAAATCATGGCCCATGTCTACAGGAACATAAGTGATAAAACTACCTTAAATAGTTACAGCATTTTAAATGTTTTACCTGTTTTCTGAAAAACATCTCATGTGATTCTCACAACAATTCTATTAAATAAATAAGGAATAGTCTGATACTCTAAGAAGTTGAAAATCATGATTGAAATTAAATGCAAGCATATCGTTATGTAGCATTTCCCCTATCTTTTATAGGTGTTCATTTATATGTTTATACATATATTTAAGGAAAATAAGAAAAGGTTCTATCAACTCAAATTAACTAAATAGTATATTTCCAGATTTTGATAAAGAACAGAGAAAACAAATTCTTATTAAACCCAAAATTTATTCTGACATGACACACACACACACACACACACACACACACACACACACACACACACACACACACACACACACACACACTCTTTCACACCCCCCACACTCACACACACACATGCACTCACTCACAAACACACACACACACTCATACACTCTCAACACTCACCCC